AAAAAGTTTTGGAGTGAGATTTAAAAGTTTAAGGGAAACCTAGAGAACAATGGGTTTGTCATTAAAAATAGGAGAGGGGAGTTATTAAAGGAGAGTTAAGGGTATTGGGAAGATGGGGAAAAATTTTTTAGGGAATTGTTAAAAGTTGTTTAAGTAGGAAGCTGTGATTTCGTTAAGGGCAAGGAAAATAAAAATTGTAGGATGAGGAAAGCCAGTGGGGAGTTGGGGGGAAATTCGTGAGGCAGTAGGTAAAAGAAAGGGGGTAAAGGGAGCCGGATTGATGGGATAAAGATAAAAGTAAAAAGCAGGGGGGGAAAAGTTTTTTAAGTGTTGGTGCCAATTATTTAAAAATGTATGAAAAGGGTAAGGGACCCAGGGATTGGGAAGGGGCATGCTAGTTCCTTTTTTTAAACAAAGGGGCAAAAAAAAAGGCAAAAAATTTTAGGGGGAAAAATCTGTTATATGCCTGGAAGTTATGGTAGGTTATTATTTAAAAAATTTAAAAGGGAAGACGGGGAAAAGGATAGCGAGAACAAGAGGCTTTGGAAAGGAGGGGGTGTGTGGCCCGGTGTTTACGATGAAACATATAAGGAGCAGATTTAGATAAGGTAAAAGGGTCTTTGTGATTTATGGATTTGGGGAAAGGGGGGTATGACGGTGGGAAAGGGGGGGAATGTGGCGATGTTTTAGGGTGGTTAGGATAGGTTACGAAAGCAGTGAAAAGGTTTTTTTGAGGATAGGAGGCTCAATTAGAGATGTAGGAAAGAGGAAATTATTTCCCCGTAAAAAGGCCTTTGACAAGGATGTTGATGTCACCTGGGGTTTTTTAATATATTTTTAAGATGGGGGTTTAAAAAAGAAAAATGCGGGGCTTGCAAGAGGGTGGGGTTAAAAAAAAATCACACAAAAGTGGGGTTTTCACATTTCTCTTTGCTGAGACACTGTGCTCTTGGGGTTGAAGGAAAAAGCAGAGATTGGTGGAAGAATTTGGGGGTGTGCAAAAAAAGAAAATTAAAAAGTGAAAACAGGAAAAAGAAAGGTTTTGAGGAAAAAAAAAGATTTGGGATAAGATTGGGAAATCGATTGGAGGAAGATTGGGGGAGGTGAATTTTTCAATATTTGGAAAATGACGTGTCAGCGATGGTCAGAAAAAATGAGGGGAACATAGAATTTATGAGGGGAAAAGGGTGATGGTGCACTTAGGACGGGAGACAAAAAATTTGTCCCCTTTGGGGGCAAAAAAGGGGGGAAAGTTGAGAGTATAGTTTTACCAACGCTCTTATATGGGGGGGGAAGCATGGGGATGAATGTTGCAGCGAGAGAAGGCTGAGGCAGTGGAGATGTCATGTCTGAGGGCAAGTGTGGTGTGAATTAATGCAGAGAAATTTGTATTTGGAAGTTAGGAGGAGGGCGGATTACCAAAATTTGTCCCGGGGGGAGGAAGGGGGGTTTTTGAGTGGTTTGGACTTGAGGAAAAGGAGCAAAAAGATGACTTTAAGAGTGTTCATCTGTGTGGAAGGAAGGGGGTAGGGGTGCCTAGGAAAGGTTTGGGGGGAGGGGGAAAAAGGGGTTTTTTGTTGGGGGGGGCTTGGATTTTCCCGCAGGATGAGGCGTGTTTGAAGGAGTGAATGGAACAAATGGTTTTTAATACTTGACGTGCTGTTGGAGTGTGACAAATAACTTTTTGAAAGGGGTTCAGGGAAAACCCGGGGGCCGACTTGAATCCTGGAGAAGGGAATTTCAGTGCCTGCACTCGAAAAGGGGGGGTGTTTAAGTTGCAGTTTAAAAAAATGTAGTGTAAAGCCCCTTCTGGCAAACAGTGAGGAGGAATGATGGGGGAAATTTTTTTTTTTCGGCCACCCGCTTGGTGGGAATCGCCGGTGAAAAAAAAATAAAATTCACTTCTTCCATTCTCCCTCTCTCCCGTGTGATATCCAAATTTTTCTTTAAATAAAAATTTGATACCCCTCATCACCTTACTTTATCTATTTCCTTTCAATTTCTACCTTTTTACACCCAGATAAAATGAAAGCTGGGTGAAAGGGTTTTAACCGTGGTTGCCATGATTAAAGGTCCAAAAATTTACCACCGCTTTGATAATAATTTGTTAACTCCCTTTAAAAATAGCCATTTAGTGGTCACTTTTTCTCTTAACTAAACATTATTGATGCAACTGAATAACTTCTTTTGGGAAGAAATTTTTAGTATCCCTTTTCATATTTTTTAAAACCCTTTATTTACAAATTTACACCCTATATTTGAAATAGTCAAAACCTTTTTTTTTTGTTTTAAAACATTGTATAAAATGTTTTTTTTCTAAATACTGAATTACTATAATTTTAGGGTAAAAGTACAGTTGTTCTATTTCTTCTTTCTTTCAAAATACCAGCCTATTCCCCCGAGGTGGGTGGCCCAAAAGGAAAACGAAAGTTTCTCCTTTTAAATTTGTAATATACAGGGGAAGGGGGTTTCTAGCCCCCTTTCTCCCCGGGATTTTTAGTGCCTCTTCGAACGCATGGCTTTACGGAGGAAGAATTCTGTTCCCCTTCCCATGGATTTGTTTTTTTTTTATTTTACCCGGAGTTTTCCCGGAGGAGTTCCAGGGGTCAACTCCCCCGCCCCCTCTGTGAAGGGCCCCCTAGTGGGGTCGGAGCCTGATCAACCAGGCTGTTAAATGCTGGCTGCACGCAAACCAACGAGGCCCCAGCCCGGCTGGTCAGGAACCCACTTTAGTGCTTGTTTGTCCAGCTGAAGACTGCCGGGGTCTGTTTGGAATCCCCCTTATGTTGCTGGGAGGCAGTTAAACATCTTGGGCCCTGACACTTATTTTAGGTTCTTAACTGCTAGTGACACCCCTGCTTTTTTATTGGGGTTTTGATGTTGCATGTCTCCAAGCTTTTTCTTTCGTAGTGAAAAATTTTCGGTGCAAGTTCGGCACAGTCCCCCTAGGTTTTCCAGGTGATATAATCAATTTTCCCCCCTGTGTTCCGGGAAAAAGGTTTAGGAACCTCAAGCGCTCCAGTAATTGAGGGTTTTATCCCGTTTTTCGCCCGTAAGGTTCCTCATTTTCTAGGCAGCAATTTCACCTGCCCTTTAAAGGGTTTAGTGTGCGCAATATTCCCGCCCGATAGAACAAATACCTAAAGTGTCATCTGGGCTTTGGGCCCCCCATTTTGAAAAGGGTTTTCATTATCCTCCTGTCATTTTTCTGCGTGCGATTGATCAATGTTATGGCCGAAGGTGAGATCTTGACTGATCACTCCCAGGGCTTTGCGTTTGGGTTCGCCCTATTTTGTGGCCCAGAATTTGTTTTGTACTCTGATGAAGATTTAATTTCCTCATGTTTACCATATCTGAGTAATTGAAATTTCTCATCGTTGAACTTCATATTGTTTTCTGCAGCCCACTGAAAGATTTGGTTGATGTCCGCCTGGAGCCTTGCAGTGTCTGCAATGGAGGACACTGTCATGCAGATTCGGGTGTCATCTGCAAAGGAAGACACTGTGCTGTGGCTGACATCCTTGTCTATGTCGGATATGAGGATGAGGAACAAGATGGGAGCGAGTACTGTGCCTTGTGGAACAGAGCTTTTCACCGTAGCTGCCTCGGACTTTACTCTGTTGATGACTACTCTCTGTGTTCTGTTAGTGAGGAAATTATAGATCCATCGACCGACTTTTCCTGTTATTCCTTTAGCACGCATTTTATGCGCTATTACGGCATGGTCACACTTGTCGAAGGCTTTTGCAAAGTCTGTATATATTACATCTGCATTCTTTTTGTCTTCTAGTGCATCTAGGACCTTGTCATAGTGATCCAATAGTTGAGACAGACAGGAGCGACCTGTTCTAAACCCATGTTGCCCTGGGTTGTGTAGCTGATGGGTTTCTAGATGGGTGGTGATCTTGCTTCTTAGGACCCTTTCAAAGATTTTTATGATATGGGATGTTAGTGCTATAGGTCTGTAGTTCTTTGCTGTTGCTTTACTGCTTTGTGGAGTGGGGCTATGTCTGTTGTTTTTAGTAACTGTGGGACAACCCCCGTGTCCATGCTCCCTCTCCATAGGATGGAAAAGGCTCGTGATAGGGGCTTCTTGCAGTTCTTGATGAACACGGAGTTCCATGAGTCTGGCCCTGGGGCAGAGTGCATGGGCATGTCATTTATCGCCTGTTCGAAGTCATTTGGCGTCAGAATTAGATTTCTGATGTATACTTGAAGACTAGACATATGTGCTCAAGCACCATCATTCTAAACATGTTGCAATTTGGAGCACTCCATGACAAAAGAATTTCTGGAATATGCATACAAAAATGCATAAGATGTTTATCTCAAACTAAAACATTGTTCCAGAATGATAGAAATGGGTATTGTACTTAATGATTATAGGAATTGTCCTCTTCCAGTTACTGTAAAATAGTTATACTTTGTATGTTGTATAGTATATACAGCATATCTTTTAGAGTATGAGAAATAAATGCATAATTATAGTATAATACATGCATTAATAGTTGTTGATCATGTTACTTGATTGCCTAGTTGGATGTTGTACGTGTATGGTATATAATACTGACAAGATGAATTAGACACATGTGCAACATCAGGGTATCTTGATACCCAGATGTTGCACATGTCTTAATTCTTCATCTAATTGGGTATTCATTGTTTGAGAGGGTCTTCCTGATTATGGCACTATTCCAGGGACATTTACACTGGGCTCTAGTTAGTTTGCTTGCTAGCTGTTGCTTGTTCACATATATGGTATGAATGCATTAGCCAGGATTTTCCTACCTACTAGTGATTGGCTTTGGCTGGCTCCTGTGACCAGTGTGGAGCTTAAATCAGGGCTTATAATAATACGGTTTTTGCCACAATAATACTGGGTAAGCTTAAGGACTATAATATGTATATTGTATTAACAGTTTTATGTTTGCTTTGAGGAGGAAATTGATTATACTGAACTAATGTTTGGTGAAGACACAAAGGGGTTTGTACTTTTACAGGATCATGGGATTGCACGGCACGGGCATGGTCAGTAAAAAATGGTGCGGGTAATAGTCCAGGAAATGAAGAAAACCAAAGAGGAAGCAGAAATTTGATGTCTGCTTTGTCTGTTGGCCAAAACATTATTTGTGAAATGGATCATGACTCTCCAATACTGTGTTTGGCCCTGCACCCGGAGGGATCCTTGTTAGCCACTGGCAATCAGGATGGTGTATTAACCCTGTGGCTGCTGCCTGATGGTGATCTGGTGCACCAGTTAAACTGTACGTAATTGGTGTTTTGGGCGAGTACTTGTCTGATGTGTATTGCATATTAATTTCTTTTAAAATAAGTTACAGTATCATGGCTTGAGTAATTTACAACTAACCCACAGATGGAAATAAAAATTTGATGACTTAATTTTGTTAAATACTCACATTCAGATTCATATCATTCCCTTTTGTCCAATAGTATTTGAATTTTAATGCCCTTTTCTAGCAGGGGCTTCCCTACTCCTACATTTTAAGGGAAGTGTCTTGATATTAGTAAAGGGCTCTTTATCAAGGGAATTAGAGCTACCATTTCCTTCCTCACATCAGATTGATTTTTCTGCATACCTTCCCAGAACCTTACAGGTTTGGCATTTGCCCATAAATATAATAATTCACCATTCCTGAGAGCTGGGGAGTATTGAATTGTTACAGTCTTGATTTGTTCTGTTGATTTGACAGAACATGGGTAGATTTAGCCGCATAAATGTCTTAGTATAGTACACCCCCCAGAGTGCCTGGATGCTGGTGAGAGGCTGTTAATTCAGGGACCTGGACTTACCTTTCTCTTCCTTGAATTGAGCCTGAATGCCTCCCATTCCCCAGGTGCTATGTGACCCCTATGGTTTAGTGTGTCCCTCTGATTAAAATATAAAAATGTAATATAGGTTTATATTAATATGAACTTGCCAACCATAATAGTGCTCTAACTTGAAACTGGAGAAAGATCCAAGTGCATTAGGTTAACATGTTTTCACTAGTAACTGAAAAGGAATCGCGCAACAAAAATAGTCAGTTAGTTCATGGAATGAACTTTAATATTAAGATAAAATAAAGATTTATTAAAAAGTTAACCACTCTTATCTTGTTTGGACTTAAACAGTTATGTACTAGGATTAGTCTGCCCAAAATGCCCCAGCATGATAGTGGCTTTCTTTGTACTTAACAAATCAAAATTGTAATTACACATTGTAACCTTTGCAAAGAAATAAAATCTTTATTCTTTATTTAACTAGCAGACTGTTAATTAAGGATCTCTCTTGGGGTAATGCATTATGTACACAGTGCTGATCACCTTGTGCTTATGTTCTCCACTGAAATTTCATTAGTAGTGCCATATGGCACTTTTTTTTTCTTTTTATGCCTATGGATTTAGCAATTTCATGAGAGTATATTAATACAGTAAAAATAATAATTTGTGCAGCTGTAAGTTAACGGAATGTGTTTATCTGGATTTAGAATAATCGTAGAGATAGTTTAGACAGCATGTATTTATCATAAGGCTGTTTCTTGGAGTTACTAGAAAAGGGTTCATTATAAGCATAAATCATCTCAGGTCATGAAGGTAGTGTGAATACAGCAGTGTGGAGTGCAGTTGATGATCGCATATTGACTGGTGGTGAGGATGGCCAACTGACCATCATTGAAGCTTACCAGGGGACAAAAATCTGTGCACATAGCCTGCAAGAAAATGTAAGGTATGACTTAATAAATCAATCGTGAATTAAGGTGATGATTAAAGGTAAGTGGGTATAACATAGAAAATTGGCAGACTGCAGCCTGTCCTTGTACCTCATAACAAGTGTTTTGTTTGTAGTGCACTGAGACACTACAGTTTACCTTCCGTGTTATCTTCCCATTTGTGAAGTTTGGTTACTGGTAATTACTCAACACCAGTAAATAAATTTTAGGTTAAAGTACCCTAACTTAAAATAACCTTGCTTTTCTTAACCTATCATTCAGTAATTTAAAATATGTAAAGTAAAAGGACACAATTGCAACTAATGTGACATTTTTATTGTGGCAATGTTTTGCTCTCCAGTTTTGTCAAGCTGGAGAGAGAAATGTTGCCACAATAAAAATGTCACATTAGTTGCACTTGTGTCCTTTTACTCTTGCATATTGTCGGTAATTCTACCAACTATTACAATTTAAAATAACTGCTGGTAATATTTAGCTTTGCTGTTGGTTAGATTTTTGAGAAACACAGATGTAAACACAAAAAAAAGGATATACAGCTGTGTATTTTGAGGGTCAGTTGTAAGTAGAGACTTTGTTGGTTGACTTTTTTCTGAAGTGTTACCTTTTATAGTCTAAAAGAGGTATGTATATATATGCCAAGATATCAGTTTTTTCTTTTTCATGTGGCTCAATATATTAGCTTATCCAGTAAGTTCATATTTAATACTTCTCTCTGACATAATTCTAGCATGTAACTAGTGCTAAGTTTAGTTTTTACTCTCAAAATCTCCCCCTACTCCTTACAACCCTTCATGGCATGACCCATACTCATACCTTTCCTCTTGGTCATCTTATATTGTTCCCTCCTCTCTAAATATCCAAACAATGTCAACAGTGCCTTCTCAGCCCTCTGAAGTGTACCTGCAGTACTCTTGCTCCATCTTATTGCTATGCTCTAAATTTTCTGCATAATATTCACTCCACACATTGTTCTCAAACATGATATTTCCACCACCTCCAACCTCCTCCAGGCTTCACACCTATGTAAAAAGTATTGGTATCACTATACCCTTGAACAATATCCTGTTTTACTTCTTAAGATAATTTTTTTTTTTACCACAGACGCCTCAACACTCCACATTTTATATTAAAAATCAAATACAGTATACAGGAGGATCCCGCTTACACAGCAGGTTAGGTTCCGGAATACTGCTATGAAGCGAAACATAGGTTTTTTTAATTCAAATCCATGTTAAAGCCAGATAACATGTTTATACTATCACATTAAGTGAGCAAGAGAACTAGGCCTAAAAAATGCATATAAATTATACACATTACTTAAAATATTTTTGTCCTTAGCTTATAGCAAGTGGTGAATATATTTATTGTAGGAAGCCTGTATAAATAGAGGGTTATAATTGAAAACTGCTGTATTAGTAAAACACCGTCAAGTGAAGTGCTGTAAAGCGGGGCTTTCCTGTACTGGATATAAACGTATGGAAGTATACCTGGAGGGGGTTTCGGGGATCAACGCCCCTGCGGCCCAGTCTGTGACCATGCCTTGTGGTGGATCAGAGCCTGATCAGCCAGGCTGTTACTGTTGGCTGCACACAAACTGATGTACAAGCCACAGTCCAGCTGGTCAGGTACTGACTTCAGGTGCTGTCCAGCACCTTCTTGAAGACAGCCAGGGGTCTATTTGTAAGCTGTTATGTATGCTATGAGGCAGTTGAACAGTCTTGGACCCCTGACTCTTATTGTGTTGTCTCTTAGTGTATTAGTGGCACCCCTCCTTTTCACTAGGGAGGGATGTTGCACCTCCTGCCCAGTCTTTTGCTCTCGTAGGGAGTGATTTTCGTGTGCAAATTTGGGACTAGTCTCTCTCTAGGATTTTCCAAGTGTATATTGTCATGTATCTTTCTGCCTGCATTCCAGGGAGTACAAATCAAGGGACTTCAACTGTTTCCAGTAATTTAGGTGCTTTATCATACTTATACATGCCATGAAAGTCCTATGTACATTCCCCAGGTCTGCAATTTTGCCTGCTTTGAAAGGGGGCTGTTAGTGTCTAGTCTAGAGAGAAGCAGTTTGAAGAGAATAATCATGAGCTTGACATCCCTAGTTTTGAAGGTTCTCGTTATCCATCCTATCATTTTCCTAGCAGATGTGGTAGATACATTGTTGTGATCTTTGAACATGAGATCCTCTGACATTATCACTCCTAGGTCCTTCACATTAGTTTTTTGCTCTATTGTGTGATTGAAATTTGTTGTATACTACAATACACTTTTAATTTCCTCAAGCTTTCCATATAGCAGTATTTGAAATTTCTCTTCATTTAACTTCATATTATTTTCCACGGCCTATGTAAAGATTTGGTTGATGTCCGCTTGAAGTCTTTCAGTATCATCGATGAATGACACTCAGTGCAAATTCGGGTGCCATCCACAAAGGAAGACATGGTGCTGTGGCTTACATCTCTGTCAGATATGATTATTATTATTATAATCAAAAAGAAGCGCTAAACCACAAGGGCTATACAGCATGTCAGATAGGAAAAGGAACTGGATGGGGGCGAGTACTGTGCCTTGTGGAACAGAGCTTTTCACTGTGGCTGCCTCAGACTCTATTCTGTTTGCTATTATCCTTTGTGTTCTGTTAGAAAGTTATAGATCCATCTACCAACTTTTCTTGTTATTCCTTTATCATGCATTTTGTGAACTACATTACACCATGGTCACACTTGTCAAAGGCTTTGCAAAGTCTGTGTATACTACATCTGCATTTTGTTTGTCCTCCAGTGCATCTAAGACCTTGTTATAGTTGTCCAGTAGTTGGAACAGGCAGAAGTGGCCCGCTCTATATTGTAAAAAACAGTGCAGTATGTTAAAGTTGTACACTACAGTCTATTGCATTTTTCTTTAACATCTTTTTTTCTGCACATGTTTGCTTTCCTCATAATCTGCAGCATTTTTTGTAGAGGTGGGAAATATTTATTTTGAGCATTGGGATCATTGCTGGCTCTGTGCATTAAATCACTTACCTGTACTCTTAGGAACCGGTGTAGTTCAGAGGAGGCTTTACTCTTTCTTGCTGTGTAATAAGTATGATACTGAGTACGAAGACAATATGCAGAACAATATTTTATTAGGACTGTATCACTCCTGGCTGAGCTTTATCAAGTTATAATGGACCATTGAAGGTGGCCCATGGCCTGGTAGGCAAAGGTATCACTTCACATGCTGAGGGTCCATGGTTCAATTCCCAGCAAGGGTGGAAACATTGGGCATGTTTCCTTACACCTGTTGTCCTGTTCACCCATCAGTAAAATGGGTACCTGGGTGTTAGTCAACTGGTGTGGGTCGCATCCTGGGACAAAATTGACCTAATTTTCCCGAAATGCTATGCATAACGAGGGGCTTTTTATGTAATAGTATGTCAGTGATGTCAGCTAGGCTGACATCATTGTACATGTACTTGTAGAAATAAAGACACTGTTATTATTACTAGGTCAACTACAGTATGTACTCTACTACCTGCATCATTAGTCCCTCACTTATAATTCTTACCTCAGTCTGAGTATGTGTATGTGTAATAAGTATCACCACTGTGACTTCATAAAGCTCAACCATAAGTGAAACAGTTCCAATAAATGCTTGTTTTGCTTATTCTCTTTTTTTACCTATACCTGTCAGTCTTACGCCTGTATACAGCACTTGTCGGTAAAGTACACTGGCCCTCTCTAAAATCACGACTACAAGATAGGTCATCCATTACACTTTAGGACATCCTTCAACCATCTATGAAGTGATTAACACACATTTCAGGGTTTCATGGGGTAAATTCTCCCATGACTTACGGATGGCACCCTAAAGCCATGGGAGTGGGCTGCTATCCTTCCCTTAGTAGATCTTTCTCTCTCTCTGTCTCAGCCCAGAGGTTCATAATGGGGTTCAAATTTGGGAAGTTTTCTGGCTAGTCATCAAAGAAGGGTATCACAGTTAAAGCCAATGAACAACAGATTTCATTATGTGGCACCACACTGAGTGAAAGATTTGAGCAAATGATAACTCAAATTCTTGGTATGTTGTTACAGTTAACATTAGTAGGGATGTTTTTCTAGGCTTCCCTGAACATGCTTTTGGTGTTGGCACATCATGAACACTTCTCAAGGAACAATCGACCACGTTCTCATTGGATGCTCTCGCACATTGCTGTCTTTACTATTTCCTTTGTCAGTGACTTGATCCTGCCCATATTAATTTGTCAATAGACAAAAATGTGCAACACTTGACCCTTGAGACCACATGGTGCAGGGAATACAGACACGAAACCTTCCATCACAAGCCCAAAAAGGCAAAGATGCAGCCAGTAGCCTAAGGAAATCTTGAGACAATCTGGTTCAATTTGCCAGGTCAGTATAACTTTGTCTCGTCAAAAAATGTGCCAGGGTGGGGTATTACTTTGGACGTTAAATTACATTGAGTACTGTCCACTCAGTGCACTTTAATGGTGAGCACTGTGTATACTGTATTTTAAAGATATTTACATTGTTTTTTATGAATAAATTTGTGGACATTAATAAGCTGTGTATAGTAATGATGAACTATTATTGGCCAGGTGTGCGGCATGGGAGGGGCGACTGGTGATTGCAGGAGGAGAGTCTGGTGATGTTATAGTGTTTGATATGGGCACTGGCTTGGTGATCAAGAGGTTTCCAGCACACAATGGTAGGTTTGTGTAAAGTTCTGATATACATTTAGGTATGCATACTGGTCAGAGAGCCCGTCGTAAGTATGAATCATTGGTAAACAAGAATGTTGCCAAGTGAGGAGAAACTGTTTTCACACAAAAGAGTCACTAAATGAGAACAAATCTTATCTAGTACATTCTTTTCCTTCCCAGTTCATCATTTTTGGATGTACTCGTCCATCATTGCTCTATAGTTCTTATTTCTGTGATGTACAGATCCACCCGGGCTGTGTGTGCCTGCCTAGCTCCAGTTGTCAGCTCATTTCTGTTGTGGCAGCATCCAAATTACTCTGAACCAGGGCTGAATGTGTAAAACATTGTGTGCCACCATATCTGGCATTACCTTGCTTTTCAAAAAACTGTCCTTCACACTTCTCTGGTTCCTGTTTTAAGGTTATATCTGCATGGATTCTGCATCCATTTGACAGTCATCTCCTCAGTTTCAAAGCTCTGGTGGTAAATTCCAGGCGGGTTTACACTGCAGGGTCCCATAACAGAAAACTATGGTTTCAACTCTGCATCAGCTTTCTTGAGGAGCCCATGGTTTTGCTACCTCCACTAGCTTTGATGTGATTAGCAATGAGTTCATTTGGTTCACATGCTCCAGCTTTAATGTGTGTACTACAGAAATAAAAAAACAGAAATAACAATGGGCAAGAAGAGGCAAAGGAGGCTGAATTAGCAACAATAGAGCACACAAGACCATACCAGGTCATATTCAGTCACTGTTGTCTTCAGTTTTGGTATAACATTCGGCTCCTTTATTATTTCAGAGGCCATATCTTTTTGAATATTGTTTGAATTTATTTTTTTTACTAATTGTTGCCACCAGTTTCCAAAATAATGGCAGTCTTGAGAAAGAGCAGGTACACAAGCAAGCATGCAGTTCACTCATTGGAAGGTTGTAATGTAGGAGCTGAGTATGTATGTCCTATTCAAGTGAAAAAGTATATCAGCATAAAATTAAACTGAACCCCCTTCCCCACAAAACATTAACCACTCCAGCTCGTAAAATAGATCTACTGGATAAAATTTCTTCAGGTGTGTTTGTCAATAATGATCTTGTTTGGGGTGACCCTTAAAAGAAGTTTCTTGAAATGCCCTTGTTTTTTACAGTTAAATATTATATGAAATGAAAAAAACCCTGTTTTACAACATCAGTTTTTTAAATGAATCTCAATTTTTCCACTAAAATTAAGATTTTTTCATTAAAAAAGGCAAATTTAGAATAAAAGTGGTTAATTCATAAGACTAGGTTTTTTATTTACAAGACTTCTAGACATGGGTACTTCTGAAAAATACATCATATATACAGCTATATTAGACTTGACTTTCATTATTTGTCTTAAGTTATTATAGAATTTAGGTAATATATTAATTTTTTTAATTTCAGGTCCTATTACATGTTTAGCAGTGAGTCCAGATAATAGACATCTAGCGACCGGTAGCGAAGATCGGAAAGTTATACTGTGGGGTTTACATTCTTGAAAGTTGGGATAAATGCTGTGCTTCTTTTTTTTTTCTTATTATACCTCACTTGCGTTGCCTTGACCCACATAATTTCATTGGGGAAGTTTGTGTGGCCATGAGACGAGCCTTGCAGAGACGAGTTGCTGGAGCTGACCAGCAGTAGTTTAAGGCATTATAGGTTTTAAGTACCAAAAGTATTTTTTATAAAATGTTTTATTTTTTTAGTTTTCCTAGACATTATCTACACTGAAGAGTAAAGGTTAATGAAATGTGATACTAGGTAGTCTCATGTATGTACACATTGTGATATTATAACGCTTATAACTTGAATATTCTGATACAACTCTGTCTTAAATTACAGTACTTTCATATATAAGCAATTTTTATGAGGAAAGTTGAAGCAAATCCATTCACATGGGAAATTTTTGCTTATTTGCTGTTTGCAAAATGGAAATTCTGCTTACTAGTAACACAATACTAAATTTGTTAGTGAATTTTAAATTTTTAACGAAAGTGCCCATATTCAACAATATCTATTAAAGTGGGGAGAGGAAGTAATAGATTTAGGTATACTATATAGGTTCACAATGTTACTGGGAGCGACAGTGGTAGGGGTGATAATAAATTTAGAATAGATTTAGGTTTATGGTCTTAGTGTTACTAAGACTGGCAGTGGCAGTAGTAGGAAAGAGCTCATGGGTGATGGTATGGTATATTTAGATAAAGGCATGAAGCTGACAGTAACAAAAGACAGGTGTAGAGTAAGCTTTTACTATAACAATGTTTTGCTTTATGTAGAGCTTTGATGTAACAAGACTCTACACTGAGTGAAATGTTGTCATAATAAAAGATGCTCTAAACCTATCTGTTCTTAATTACTGTAGATTTAGGTATATAGACTAAACCTGTAGGAGTCGTGTAGTGCCTAGGGAATGGGAGGTATTAAGGTTTCATCCAAGAAGGAAAGGTTATGTTCAATTCCTTGAATTAAGAGCCCCTTACCGGCATCAAAGTGGCCCCCCTGAGAGGATAAGTCCTACAATACTAGTAGTAGTAGTAATGGGGAGGGAAGGGGTGATAGATTTAGGTATGCTGTATAGATCTAGTGTTGCTGAGTGTGGCACTGGTAGTAGTAGGGAAGGGAGGGGTTATAATAGATTTAGGTCTAGTCCTGCAGTGTTACTGTGATGGCCTTACAAACACTGTAGCTGAATGATTTGCTTTACCAAAGTAATCATTTTATTTATATTAGTAATATTTTCAGAATATTTTGTATATTTACAGTTTTTCTACAGTTCCATTAGGGTGGTAACTGAATTTAGGAGTGATTGGTGGAATGATGAAGTAAAGGGTGTGATAAAAGAGAAAAAGGTAGCTTACGAGAGGTTTTTACAAAGCAGAAGTGTTATAAGAAGAGCAGAGTATATGGAGAGTAAAAGAAAGGTGAAGAGAGTGGTGAGAGAGTGCAAAAGGAGAGCAGATGAAAGAGTGGGAGAGGCACTGTCAAGAAATTTTAATGAAAATAAGAAAAAATTTTGGAGTGAGTTAAACAAGTTAAGAAAGCCTAGGGAAAGTATGGATTTGTCAGTTAAAAACAGAGTAGGGGAGTTAGTAGATGGGGAGAGGGAGGTATTAGGTAGATGGCGAGAATATTTTGAGGAACTTTTAAATGTTAAGGAAGAAAGGGAGGCGGTAATTTCATGCACTGGCCAGGGAGGTATACCATCTTTTAGGAGTGAAGAAGAGCAGAATGTAAGTGTGGTGGAGGTACGTGAGGCATTACGTAGAATGAAAGGGGGTAAAGCAGCTGGAACTGATGGGATCATGACAGAAATGTTAAAAGCAGGGGGGGATATAGTGTTGGAGTGGTTGGTACTTTTGTTTAATAAATGTATGAAAGAGGGGAAGGTACCTAGGGATTGGCGGAGAGCATGTATAGTCCCTTATATATAAAGGGAAAGGGGACAAAAGAGATTGTAAAAATTATAGAGGAATAAGTTTACTGAGTATACCAGGAAAAGTATATGGTAGGGTTATAATTGAAAGAATTAGAGGTAAGACAGAATGTAGAATTGCGGACGAGCAAGGAGGCTTCAGAGTGGGTAGGGGATGTGTAGATCAAGTGTTTACATTGAAGCATATATGTGAACAGTATTTAGATAAAGGTAGGGAAGTTTTTATTGCATTTATGGATTTAGAAAAGGCATATGATAGAGTGGATAGAGGAGCAATGTGGCAGATGTTGCAAGTATATGGAATAGGTGGTAAGTTACTAAATGCTGTAAAGAGCTTTTATGAGATTAGTGAGGCTCAGGTTAGGGTGTGTAGAAGAGAGGGAGAATACTTCCCGGTAAAAGTAGGTCTTAGACAGGGATGTGTAATGTCACCATGGTTGTTTAATATATTTATAGATGGGGTTGTAAAAGAAGTAAATGCTAGGGTGTTCGGGAGAGGGGTGGGATTAAATTATGGGGAATCAAATTCAAAATGGGAATTGACACAGTTACTTTTTGCTGATGATACTGTGCTTATGGGAGATTCTAAAGAAAAATTACAAAGGTTAGTGGATGAGTTTGGGAATGTGTGTAAAGGTAGAAAGTTGAAAGTGAACATAGAAAAGAGTAAGGTGATGAGGGTATCAAATGATTTAGATAAAGAAAAATTGGATATCAAATTGGGGAAGAGGAGTATGGAAGAAGTGAATGTTTTCAGATACTTGGGAGTTGACGTGTCGGCGGATGGATTTATGAAGGATGAGGTTAATCATAGAATTGATGAGGGAAAAAAGGTGAGTGGTGCATTGAGGTATATGTGGAGTCAAAAAACGTTATCAATGGAGGCAAAGAAGGGAATGTATGAAAGTATAGTAGTACCAACACTCTTATATGGATGTGAAGCTTGGGTGGTAAATGCAGCAGCGAGGAGACGGTTGGAGGCAGTGGAGATGTCCTGTCTAAGGGCAATGTGTGGTGTAAATATTATGCAGAAAATTCGGAGTGTGGAAATTAGGAGAAGGTGTGGAGTTAATAAAAGTATTAGTCAGAGGGCAGAAGAGGGGTTGTTGAGGTGGTTTGGTCATTTAGAGAGAATGGATCAAAGTAGAATGACATGGAAAGCATATAAATCTATAGGGGAAGGAAAGAGGGGTAGGGGTCGTCCTCGAAAGGGTTGGAAAGAGGGGGTAAAGGAGGTTTTGTGGGTGAGGGGCTTGGACTTCCAGCAAGCGTGCATGAGCGTGTTAGATAGGAGTGAATGGAGACGAATGATACTTGGGACCTGACGATCTGTTGGAGTGTGAGCAGGGTAATATTTAGTGAAGGGATTCAGGGAAACCGGTTATTTTCATATAGTCGGACTTGAGTCCTGGAAATGGGAAGTACAATGCCTGCACTTTAAAGGAGGGGTTTGGGATATTGGCAGTTTGGAGGGATATGTTGTGTATCTCTATACGTATATGCTTCTAAACTGTTGTATTCTGAGCACCTCTGCAAAAGCAGTGATAATGTGTGAGTGTGGTGAAAGTGTTGAATGATGATGAAAGTATTTTCTTTTTGGGGATTTTCTTTCTTTTTTTTTTTGGGTCACCCTGCCTCGGTGGGAGACGGCCGACTTGTTGAAAAAAAAAAAAAAAAAAAAATGTATACTAATTGATGCAGCATGTCTGTAACTGGAATTTTGGTTCCAAGTTAACTATCAGAAGATTCAATGGCTGTTTTAAGGGTACAGCATAATGCATTTGTTTCTTGTAAACCATGTCAGACATGCTGTTGTTAGCTTTGATGGAATTATTTGCTATTTCTCTGATTTTTTGTCACAATTTTGTAACCTTAATGAACAGTGGTCATTGCTACTTAAATTTAAATCTATAAAGCTAAAACAGGTTTATGAAGAACATTTTATCATTAAATAATGAAGAAAATATTAGCTACCTAGAGATGGTGTACCTGAACAGGAGGTAACTAAGGTAAATTAAGTTTCTCTGCATGAAACTGATGTGTACATTTTGAGAGATGTATTTTTCTTGATGTAGATGCATTGAGAGTAGAAGTGTATATATTTAGAGTTAAGTTTAGAAATAGGGCTTACAAGTATTCTTATTGGTATGCAGGTGAAATGCAGTCTTGATGATACAGTTGATATTACAATCAAAACTAAGTGCTAAACTCACAAGGGATACAATTGATAGGCTAACCAAACACTATATTATAACTACTGCATAATATTCCTGAATGATGATTGGTATCTTTCAGAGCAGTTACATGTCAAAAATTTCTCTCCAATACTGAATTAAAGCATTAAAATTTTTGATAAATAAGAAAAAGTGGCTCTGTATGAAGCCTACAGTGTGACCCATACAAGTTTAGCACAAGTTTTGTAATATAAATTATGTAGTATTTATGAAGACTTTGGATCTTTTCTCAAAGTCATAGCAATGTTCATATTTCTTGGATATTAAAAAAATATTTAAAAATAATTTTTAATGTATAATGTGAATTTTTAGTAAAGTAAGAAATTTTTCACTGGTTTCCACCAGAAAACGAGGAACCGTAGTTTATTTAGTGTATTTTTTTTTAATTATACAACACTTCAGTTTCACACACAAAAAAAAAAAAAATTCTCGTTTTGTGTAAAACTAATGGTACAGAAAAATCATATCTAGGTACTGTACAATACTTTAATGTACAGTTGAGACATTAACACTCATTTCTCTTCAAAATGAATGTACAGTATAAGGTATTGATTTTGGCGAAAGTCTCATGAAAGTGACAAATGAGACTGTTGATTGCAACATCCTAAGTAGACTTGACAGAACTCTAGACAGAGAAAGCTGGCCAAGTCTAAAACTCAACCTTTCTTGCCCAGACTGATAGTCATTTATTTAAAGTTATCTTAATAAACTGGTGTATGTGGTTTGGGAATGTGTACGTGTGCATGGGGTTAGCATGTTGCTAACTTAAAACTTTATGTAGATATATTGAGGCATCATGAATTGTGTGATATTTCAGCTTTAAGTTTGGATACTGATAATGTAAAGTAGATCAATATGCATTTCAAGTAATCACATGGATGGCCTCACAAAACCTCCAAATTATTTCTTTAGGCTTATTACTATTATTCTGGCCCCAGCATTAGTGTCGTAGCCAGACACTTCAGGGCTAGATGGTGCTCTGAATAGTGTGCATTACTAATATTAATGGGAGCATATCCTGCATGCTAAATCATGGAAATGTTTCATCCAAGCTCTTCCTTTTATGAACAGTTGCTGGTAATGGAATATTGCTTATTGCTGTAAAGTAACAGCCTCAAAGTCTATTTTTGCATTCCTTGAAATATACCTGCTTAATCTCATCACTGGTAGGGTAGTTTGCTGGAAAGAAAGTAAGTGTTAATATTATATGTAGTACATGAAGTAATTTCCGTAATGTTGTGGTCACGGCTGCAGGGAGAGTCTTGCATATTAGCAAGAAAATGTGCAATAAGTATTCTTCCTTAGCAAATTTTATGCAAAATATCATTCAGCATTAAATGCTGAAGGATAAGTGTTATATTCATATAGTGTAGGTACATTGTCTTGTTTTCATGTATACTGTTGCATGACAAATGTTAAGCTGTATGTCTAGCTTAGGAGTATGTTTTGGCTGAATGAACAAATGGGTTTAGCGGTCTTTTTTTGTTGTCACTATTTAAAACTGCTGCTGAACACATTCACTATCATAGAACCAATGACAGCCAATTAAGTAGGTTATGTCTTCACAAATGTTCAAGGTGCCACTATTGGGTTGGCTTAGTGGATTAATGTTGACAGTGAATACTATAGTAGTTTGTAAGTTAATGAATTTCAGAATTTTTCAGTTTTTTTTCTATTAGTTGCAGTTGTATTTTTGATATGAACATTTTTTATGAGCTTTATTTGAATTTTGGAATTTTATTCCCTGATACATATTTAATTTATGAACAACATTTTGGTTAATTTTTTAAGTTTTAAGTGTCTTCTACCTAAAAACTCAGTCAAATAAGATGACCGACAGTAAGAGAGGACAAGTTGTGAGGAGTCAGACCTTGAAAGGGGATGTTGGGATTCCCTTTGCTATGCCAGTGGGGCTCTTGATCCAAGGAATTGGTTTCTTTTTCTCCTTAAGGTCAAATCTAATTGCCTTCCCCCCCCCCTTCCCTTCCTTCCTCACCTCTTTTGACCTTAGTGGAGATGCAGTACTTCAGCTCTTAGTAAAAATCATAATCAAATTAAGTGCTAAACTCTAAAAGGTCATATAAAAAGGAAAAGAAATAGCTGTTGGCCCTGTTTTAACATCTGTTGGTAGTGATAAAAAATAAATCATGGGTGACTATCTAGTGGGGCCTCTGATAGTGGAGGTGCTACTGGAGGTTGCCTGCAGATCCAAAAGTGTATGATTGGAACTGGAGGTTGCCTGCAGATTCAAAAGTGTACAATTTCTGGGACATATATTGTCAGCAATATAGACCAGGCCACCACTGTTGGCAATATCCCAGTCCCAATACAGATAGTCTTTCATCAATTTGAGCTGCCAGAATATTAGAGACCAAATCTAGCTACATCATTTCCCTGTCAACAAACTTGAGATTTGTCTATCCAGTCCGTGGACTAAGATGATATCTGAGCAATATAGCTAAGCTAACCTCTGATTACGAGAACCTTCCATCCTGTTTACACTGGAGGACACCACTTAGAGGCAAGAAAGCTAAAATCAGCACCTTAACAGTGCTGGTACCTTGGCCATCTGGCAAAATATTGCCTATCATGGTTGGAATGACCAGTCTGGAAAAGCAGATCATAATACCTACTATGATCAACCTCCTATTTGCTTTAAGTGCTGAGTACTGTACACCTGCTTATTCCCATCTGCATCTCATTTTCCTTTGAGAAAGCATATAAACTGATTGAAGGAAAGATACTCTGTCACACACTGTAACAGTGATCCAAATTTATCTTCATGGAAATATACCATGGATATCCTACTCCAGAGCTGCCAGTCATCCTCAATGCACTTAGTAGAAACCTTTAACATTCACACCAGTGTTGAACCTAAATGAAAATTTTTGCTTATGCTGTTCCTACTTCACCCTCTGCCATCTTCACCACTTTTTTTTTTCCTGACAGTCTACCTCAATCCCTGACTCCTGCAACTATAACAAAAAATTTGTAGAAATATTGTACATACATTCTTCTCTGCATCTTTCCACTACTCCATTTGTACCCACACAGATCATCTCAAGAGACAACCTCTCACACACACTTCCTTTCTTGTCAGTCGCCTATGTCTATCCCTCTGCTATATTTTCCTGTTCTTGCCTCTTTCATCCCTGTTCTGTGACTACATGTGATGAAGGTTGTGTTGACAGTGAGAGAGAGAGAGAGAGACTTTGACAAATTTCAGCTTTAATGAGGAACATCAACAGGATGGTCATCCAGCCCAAAAAGCATGACTATAAAATGCAACAATCTCTGACAATACATTACTTTCAGACTTGCCCTACACACAGCTCAGAAATACATCTTACCTCTAACATTACACACAAACTTAAATGATTTACTGCTGCCACCATATATCAACTTTACTAACCACCCTAATCCATAGCTCCAGCTGTGTAATACTTCTGTATTACTTTTAACTGCTTATGGGGTATTGCAGTGAAATATCAGAATACAGAGGAATTAAGAGAGGGCTTCAAATGTTAATCCAAGCAGTTTTCCCCTGTATGTGTTTATAAGGACCCAATATGTAGCACAGTCAGAATTCCTATCTCTGGTTACTTACTATTGCAATCTTTCATTACAATGATAATACTCTTGTAATCACCTGTCCCTTTTATCCCATGAGATGTGCAACAAAAATGCACTTAGTGTGCTTAATATTCCTTTCTTAAAGTTTATTCATACTCTACTGCAGCTCGTGTGTATCTAATCAAATTGTACATCTGCTCTTTATCTTTCCTCTTGTCTTCAATATATGATCTCTGATTTCTTCTTTATATTACTGGGCAATTTTTAACTCATTTGCTCTGCAGAGAGTTGCAATGGGACTTGGAGATCAGCTAGTTTTTTCTCGGCCACCTGTCTTGAACAATGGTATTCCTACACATCTTGAGCCTTGCATTCCTACTCTTGTACAGATTTCTCTGCTTCTCTTGTATAGCACTCAAATTTGATTGGATGAGGGCAAATTATCTCCATGACATTCATTTCCCAGTTCTCACTACAGTACTTCCCATTATGACACCCAACTTCACTGAGCCTAATGGCAATTTGATTGTACAGATTGGGCACTTTATGCATGTCTTTCTTCTTTGCCTGGTGTTCCTCCTAATTTATCCTCTACAGATGAGTTGTTACAAATCTTCAACACCTCTGTTCTCTCTCTCTACAGCCACACTTGAAGTTCCTTGACCTTGGGGGAAGGGGAGGGTGTACAGGTCTCCTGTCAGCACCTGCGCAGTTTGTTGGAAATGCTGGATGGGGCTGCTACAATTACAACTGAAGAATAGGCAGTTTCCTAGCTTAAAAAAAAAAAAAGAGGGCATATGCACATCATGCTCTACAGATATCTATGTGAACTTATTGGCAGACCTGTGTCCACTAGCTACTACTACCTATGTACACAGTCTTGAAAAAATATAAAACACAGCAGGCGAGTACTCTCGAGACTCTGCTCCTGTTTTTGCATTCTCTGGCAAAAAATTGGAGAACTTGTCAAAGTTACCAAAAGTAATTTAGCATCTTGTTCATGTTTCTTAAGGGCTACATTTGCCCCCCTTCCCCTTTCTTCAGTCTAAACCTGAGTGGGAGTCTGCTTTACTAGATTTTAAGTCTTGCACTGAGGCACTTTACAATGTTCCTTTCACAGCCTATGAACTCAGATCAATGCTATCAAAGTGCCAGCCAACAGCAACTGGACCTGATGTATTCATTCTTCAGCACTAGTCTTGTACATTTTCAATCTTATTTTGTCTGAAGGGGTTGTACCTTTTCAATAGAAAATGCAGTAGCTTTACGTGCCTTTTAAAAGCAAGCATCTTGGGCTAAGATACTTTCTTAGACCCAGTTCAATTGCAAGTCTTGGAACACTTGATTAACAGATGTCTCATGTGGTACTGTACTTAGAAACCCGAAACACTTATTCCTCTTATCAGTTTAGTTTTAGGAAGGTCATGCCACCATCTACCTCTTAATCTGCCTCGATACATACAGCTGCAATACCATCACTGATGACCAATCTTGTTCCAGGCTCATACCTTGAGCCTCTGAGGCAAACTATGACTTTTCCTTAAAGATTTTGTATAAAAGTAGTGCTGTGTTCAAGTAAATAACAGCTTTTGACTTTGTGCTAGTTAAAGGTACAGGTAGGTTCGCCAGTACGGGTCCTGGCTTGGGTCTTCTCCATGTGGTGATCCAGCAAACTAGATAGTGTACCACAAGGTTGTGTTCATAGCACTTCCTGCCTGCCATTAAAGAATTTTCCTCTATTTATCCTTCAAATATCTGGTTATCTCTGCATGCAAATGATTTTATTGCATGTGCAGATACACTATCAACTTGTAGCGAACACTCCAATATGATTGTGCTTGCATATGGACAATCTCAAATGGTTTCAAGTTTTCTTTTCCTGAAACCAACTGGATTACTTTCAAGCAACATCCTATTATTTGTCATCCTCTTCTATACATATATGGTTCTCATATCACTGACTGACACTGTTCAATTTCCCTGGAGGGATGCTTGATTCAAGGAACTGAAGCAACTTTTTCTCCTTCGATCAAACCCAATTGCCTCTCATTCCCTCAGGCACTGCACGACTCATGGGTTTAATGCTTTCCCTTTCCTCGTGCCCCCCACCATGACTGTAATAATTAATAATAACTGAGGAAACGTAAACCCTTGCATCATCATGATTTATGTCTGTGTCGAGGAAATGTGTTTTATTTTTCTCGGTTAAGAACTGTTATACAGAGAGAAATGTACCTTTTTTACAAGATATGATGTGATGCCCATTGTCTTTGTTATTTTGTCTGCTTCCATTTCCTTCACAATTCTTCCATGAACAGAATAATTAAAAAAAAAATGAAGTACTAAACCTACAAGGGTCATATTATTATTATAATCAAAAAGAAGTGCTAAATTGCACAAGGGTCATAGAATAATTACAGATGTTAGCAAGAGAGATTAACTTAATCATCATCCCCCATATATTATGTCCTTTTGATCTATTCACACTAGGAACATCTCTTAATGTCCTTCTCTTTACATTAACCCTGTATACCTTTCCTCTCTACTTCCTGGGGAGGTTGTGACAACTGAATTTTTTTTTTTTTCCCTTTCATGTTTGAAAGCTCAGATTTCTACTACGAACTTCTTTCAGCACTTTATTTTTATAATAATAATAATAGTAATACAAACTTCCACTCACTCATTCTTGAACACTATCCTCATTCTCATGTTATAGTTGGGTGCACAGATTGCTGCAAATCTGCAGTTGGAGTAGATATTAAATTATTTTGTCCAGATTGAGTAATCCAAGTGCATTATATATGATAACTCATCTTTATCATATACAAGACTCAATTACACAGTATTCAGAAATTCAATTCCCCACATACCATTGTCGTCCTATACAGTACAACAATGGTTGTCACATTTTGTTTTTTTCTTCCCTGGGTTCCTGGATATGCCAATGTTCTGGGCAATGGACATGCAGACTCAGCTGCTTGATCATTTATTCACAAACTGCTAATCTTCCCAGGGGTGTTTCTTTCATTATTTTCCACTACCTTATACAATTAGACCACTGACAACAATGTTGATCTGAGTTAGAACACCACAAATTCAAAAAACCACACTAGCAAACACTAGGGCATATTTATTAGAAAAAGTTTCAGTACTGGGACCTTGATTACATCTCTGAAGGTTTATACTACAACAAACTGTTTTCTTTGAAATCAATATTAGCTTCCTGGCCATCTTCCCACTCATGTTAGGTATTCAAAACTACACTCATGTTATCAATCTGACATATACAACTTGCACACAGAGGAATGCCTTGCACCATTACAATGACTGCACTATCTTAACAGACTCACCTGTCAGAAAACACAGAATTTACATCTTACATCTGCAACACCCGATTGCAACTACTGACCTCTCCCAAGCCTACCCTTTCATTCCAATTCATTCTTTGACAAATTAACCCCAACCTCCAGTAACCTCTACCCTTGCCCACCTGCTCTCAGCACTGCATGATCCATAAATATTTAGTGCATGTTTCTGAATACTGTGTAATAATGTGAAGATATGTTACAACTGTTTTTAAACTAAAATACACTACTTACAAGATAACTGAACTATTAATTTAAATAATTACATTTTAGTTAGTGATGTTTGGTTAACTACTTTATACAGTATTTCCCTAAAAAATTTTTGTTGAATGCTTCAGATAATACTTGTTTTTATTAAGCAAGAAACTTGATTATTGTAATTTTCCTGATGGTGGTATGGTTCTGTTTGACCCACATTGGTTGTGCATTTTTGTGAATACAACAATGGTGTTTTATAAACCAAATACCCATTGATGTAGGGAAGTGGCTAATGATCAAAAGAAGTGGACTTGGTAGAGACAAGAGTGCAGTGAACACTTTCATCTGTACAATGTTTCACTCATATTAGGCTTTTTCAAGTAGTATGTACATACATGAAAAGTACAGTAATTGACAAAAGCCAAATAGTTGAATTTTACAAAGAATTCACTTCGCAAGCATCTTCATTACCAACTGTGGGCACTTTGCCATTGTTCCCGGGATCAAACCTAATTACCTCCCATTCCCCAGGTGTTATGGCCCCTACGCCCCTCAAGGAAAGTTCCGTGATGTTGGCGAGGGGCTCTTGATTTAAGGAGTTGGATCTGTGCTCCAGTTCCCCGAATTAAGCCTGAATGCCTTCTACATCCCCCCAGGCGCTGTATAATCCTCCGGGTTTAGCGCTTCCCCCTTGATTTTAATAATAATATGGCCCCTACAGGTTCAGCAATGGATGGTATTTATTAAGGAGGTCTTTACAAAATTTCTTTGGAGTTGCAAATTATCCACTTGCACAATTTTGTTTAAAAGGAAGCACAGAAGCTGTAGGGGTCGTAGTGCCTGGGAAATGGTGAGAGGCAATAAGATTTGATCCAAGGAAGTGGAGATTTGGTCTAATTCCCTGGATTAAAAGCCCTTCTGGCATCAATGCACATGCACAAACTACTGGTAATTTTGAAGTGTATTTTTAAAGTATGTACATTTTTAAAGGAGGTTTGAAGTCCATATACTGCACATAGTATCATGGAAAGTATTATACTACATATAGTTTCAAGGTTGTTACAAAATATTTAATTTAATATTATTTGAGTTTTACTGGTTCATT